AACACGGAAATCATAGGTATTTGGTCGATTTTTTTCACTCCCTACAAATCGACCCGCCCTAAATATATATATATATATATATATATATATATATATATATATATTAATCTCAGCAAAATGAATTAGGAGTTCTAAGTAAACAGTATTATTCATCTAACCTTTTTGTCCTTTCGGTCCATCTCGTCCAGCTTCACCATTAGCACCAGGCGGTCCTATATACAGTAAATAAATGGAATAAAATTATTTGGTTTCAACAAAATATTCTAAATTTATATTTGATGAATGGTGAATGAAAGTACCTCTTAGTCCTGGCGGTCCTTGTTGCCCAGGTTTACCCTGGAATCCTTTCAAACCTCGTGGTCCAGTTCGTCCTCGAATACCTGCAGGTCCAATAAACCCAGGTCGACCTATTTGACAGAATTGAAAGATTTGTATACAAAAACCATACCTCTTATATCAAACTGAATTTTGTTTGTAACTTTACTAGAAATGGTTCTTGACTAAGCTGTCAAACATGTACTAATACATTGCGCCTGAAAGTCATATAGATGGCGCTGGCAATCAAAAAACTCCCAACATATTAAAAAAACTCCGAATATTATTTTGTTTTGGGTTCTAACAAATATATTGTTTTTGTAATACATTTGTTGGAACCCAAAACAAAATAATATTCAAGTTCAAATAATGTTGATGTACCCAAATGGAATATTTTCAAATCAGAACATAATTATAAATAAACGTATGAACCCTTCATGATAACAGGCAAACTATATGTTCCAGACGAAACAAAAGGTTTTTTGAACTCAGTACTCGCACAAATAAAGAGAATCTATTTTTCTTACATTGCAAGTGCAGGAAAAATTAGTATAGAATCATTAGACATTATTATTTCTTTGAAACATATACGCGGTATAAATATATTTTTTCACATCTCAATATTTAATCACCAGCCTTTTTTCAATAAAAGTAGCTCACTTATATGCTATAGATTTTGATAAAAGTGCGTCTATGATACCTGATACTCCTCGCTCTCCTTTGTCTCCTGGATATCCGGGTGGGCAGAAACCACAATCATCACCGCGAAAACCTATAATAGAAACAAATATAGAATGTGTGTTTTTTCCTCATTTTCTTTTATGAAAATGTATTTATTGTACCTTTGTCTCCTTTCGGTCCCGGAAATCCATCGAGTCCTGGCAATCCCGCCAATCCTCTTCGGCCTGGAAGTCCATCGTACCCAGGTGGACCTTTCATATGAAATTGTTATTTATTAGATACTCTGAGAAAAGAAATTTAGGGTTATGTTAAACTTTTTGTTCTGACATTTATTTCACAACATGAATTCAAAAAGTTTGTGGTGATTCTGGTACCAAAAATATTTCTAACTTTTTTTTCACTATAAAGTCAAAAAAACTTTGTGGTGCTCTAGCGGCAAAAATATATTTAGTACCGAAAATCACCACAATGTTTTCAAGTTCTTGTTGTGAAATAAGTGTCAAAACAAAAAGTTTAACATAACCCCAAATTTCTTTTCTCGGAGTATCAATACAAAGGAATAGAAACCTGGAACGACGCTACATTATATAGTCTATGAGTATGAAAAACTAAGCAATCATTTACCAGTTATATTGAATCCGATTCCCGGTAATCCTTTATCTCCAGTGAGGCCAGGTTCACCTCTATCTCCTGTAAAACCAATAACTCCTGGGCGGCCTGGTATGCCTGAGGCACCTGCATAAAACGAAAAAATAAGTAAGAATTAATAATAAGAGTTTTGATATGGACGTACGTTTTGATATATATATATATAATGATTATATAATATAATTTAGGCCCAAACCGAATGCTAAACTATAAAATTTGTAGGGTACACTATAAAAATTTTTTTTGTTTTTCTGAAAAATGAGTTTTCAATCGAAAAATGCGAATTTGGTACAATATATGCTCTTTTTGAGAAACTGACTGATTTCAACAAGAAACTTGCCAATATTATGGTATGAAAAGTTGACGAATGACGTCTCAGAGTCGATCCAAGTCGAAAAACTGACATGTTGCAATAAAAAAATGGAGAAATAGAGCTCCATACTATTTCCCAAAAAAATCACGAAAAATCGATGAAATCATTGCGGTTTTCGGGTCACGTCGTCATTATTTGTCATAACTCATTCCGTGGGACCAAAATTTCCCAAAAAAATGCAGAAAAACAAAAAAAAATGTTTTATAGTGTACCCTATAAATTTTATAGTGTAGTTTAAAATTGAAACTGTTATCAAATTGAAAAAATGAAGAAATTATGTGTGGATATTGTTTAATTTAGTTGAATTTGGCGTAAATTTAAAGAATCTGACCAAATACTTCGGCTAAACACAGCATAAACACGTTTCAAATTTTATAGTGTCACTATAAATTTTATAGTTTAGCATTCGGTTTGGGCCTTAAACAGCGAGAGCTAAGCGATTAATATATTTGCATAGGGAAATCCAACAATCTTCATTGAGTCGACGATTCACGCAAGGTGAGTGATTCATGATGATGATATCGCATATTCTACATGCGTATTGCATGTTTTGCCAATTTCCAGAGAATGGATCACAGCTGCAACGACCACGTATCTTTTGAATGAATTGCTCACATCCACGGATTCAGAAATGCAACATTTAGCGAATAATTTTGACTGGGTCATCGTACCAGTGACGAATGTGGATGGATATACATTCACCCACTCTACGGTACGTAAAGGCAGACAAAAAATGCTCAATTAAAAATAAAACAAAGTAAATAAGAAAACTATCCATTCAGAATCGAATGTGGCGTAAAAACCGTAAAGCTTATGGCAAATGTATTGGAACTGATTTAAACAGGAATTTTGACTATCATCATGCCGGTAATTGATAAATTAAATTAATTTCTCCAATGACATAGAATGACAATGTTTGAACTTTAGAGAGTGGTGCATCGTCGAACCCTTGCGCTGACACATTTGCTGGCCCAAAAGCGTTTTCTGAGCCTGAAACATTAGCTCTATCTAAGTTCGTTAAATCAATTCGTAACATAAAATTGTATATTTCATTTCACGCCTACAGTCAGCTGTTGCTTTACCCTTTTGTGAGTAAAAATTGCGCCTTTGCCGCTCATGATAATTCATGGAACTGTATTATTTTGTAGGGAAATACCCGTCAAAATGCGCCCAATTACAGTCACTTGGTGAGATCACAGCTAATGCAGATTATATGTCATTTTATGCCATCAATCTCAATCATAATTTTCAGGATGGAATTGCAAAGTCGGCAACAGAAGCACTTTCACGTCGCTTCGGGACGAAATACAAATACGGAAGCATTGCTAATGCAATTTGTAATCATGACCTCCAATATTCCCGGTTTTTTAATTGAAATCCCTTGACATTTTTTATTTCTTCACTTTCAAAGATGTTGCATCTGGTAGTAGCATTGATTGGGCATACGCAACGCAAGGAGTTAAATTAGCGTACTGCTTTGAATTCCGTGACACAGGTATATTGCTGCGACAAATAAATGCGATTATTTTTTTTTTTACATTTTTAATTTTTAGGAAAATACGGATTTCTTCTGCCAGCCGAACAAATTATTCCTAATTCACTGGAAGTTATCGACGCTTTGAAAGTCATGATTAAAGAAGCCAAAGCCTTGAAATATTTTTAAAATTCAGAACTGCAGGAATAAATGCAAAGACGTGAAAAATTTGTCAAATATAATGTATTTCATAAAATCGTGTCAAGCAGCTGCTTTCATTAGTTGTAAATTTTACCAAAATATAGCAACGAACTTAATTGATCCAGACAAACCCACATTTTAACAACACCAACGTTATTTTTTAGCAACTGTAAAGTTACAATCAACGGAATTCAATTTATTTTTCCATCTGGCCAAATTATTCTCAAACGCTAACATCAAGTCGTATCAGCCCAAGATTTTTCCATCTCCCCAATTGCGACATTTTTTGATGATGTCATATTCAAGAACAAAAAAATTGCTTTTTCTTCATTCGATTGAGGCTTTTGTTGCCCATTTTGAAATAAAAAATATTTCTCACTTGATTCGTCATGAAAGAATTCCAGTCGAAATGCTGTGAGAATGATTCACCTGGAAATGTTGGAGAATAATGACTATGTGCATTACAGAATTACTATATGGATTGACGATTACAAGTAGTCGGCATTTGTTATCGTTTATGAACAGTCACAAGAAAATGCTGTTGAATAAATAATACCGCATATCAATTGAAGTTTCATTCAAATTTACATTAAAAATCTAAAAGTTCAAAAGATCCATTGTAGTTTTTGTTGGAATGAAACGATTTTTGCTCAGCTTCCTCGACAGTCCAAAAAGAGTGTACGTAGTTTTCCTCGACAGTCTAAAAAAAGTGTACGTAAGTTCTTGATCTGTTTTCAATTTAAAAAATAAAATATTAGTATTGAACGATTGAAAGAAAAACTATTCAAAAGCAATAAAATAAAATATAACGTTGTATAAAATCACAGAAACTCATATTATTCCACAGATGAAAGTGCGGCTCACAAAGAGTGTTGAGTCACCCATTCTTCTTTTGGGAAATATGGAGCATTTGTATATGAGTAACGAAAATTCGATAAACCATCAAAAGTATGTTTTAATCAGACAATGTATTTGGCTAATGTCAGCTAGCTAACTGAAAACATTCTGGCTTAAACAAAAAATAAACAAAACAAAAATCCCCATATATATGATTTTTGTACTGCAGATGCGATGAAAAAACGCAACGTATAGAATTCAGACGCTGAGCCAGCCAGAATGTTTTCAGTTAGCTAGCTGACATTAGCCAAATACATTCTCTGGTTTTAATATTCTGAGAGATATCCATAATCTACATATATGTATATCGTATGACAAATCAGTCCAACATATTTTGTTATTCAAAAAACGAAACACTTGCATTCATAATCATATGAGATTGATCATGACTTTTCTGAGTTAACATTATTTGTAAGTAAAAAATAAAGAGAAAGAGGAGAGTTTTTTCTATTTTTATTGCGTTCTGCGTTCCTAATAAAAAAATGTTTATTTTATTTTATTTTAACAACGCTAAGTATTGATCGTTTGCTATTACCACATATTGTGCGCGTAATAATGGTTACAATAATGTAGTCTGTGATCCTATAAATTCGTTGATATTTTATTTGGCGTAACAAATGACCATGTTTTCCGATAAATTATTTCGTTTTCTACTTCTAATCGTCGAATATAATTAATTGAATGTAGAATTCTCATTGATGTTTACAGAAAGATGGATTTGGAGTTTTTAGTGCTCAGTGGAGTGTACGGTGCAGTCCTTGCCTTGATCGCGATATGGATAAAACTGGTGATCGCGGAACAGAAACGAATCCAGTCAATTAAAAAAGAACAAGGAGAAAAGAACCGAAATGAAAATATATCAAATGGAGCTGCCGGGAATGATATACCAAAAATTCTCCGATCTGATGAATGTAGTTCAAATGAAGCAACATCCGATGAAATTGATTGTTGTAAAGAAGCTGCTACCGTATCGCCTCGATGTGATTTTGTTGCGGATTATTTCAATTTGATATCGGATCTAAAACCCAATGAAGTGCGTGATTTGACACAGAGGTACTGAGCATATGCGTCGATTTTGATTTCACTGACGTTAAACTAATACACTAATTTGTTTGTAAAATCATAAAAATTGCAGAACATCAGAAAGTAACGAAAATGTTCACTCTCAAAAATCATATGACAAGCAAGCAAATAATCTCACAATTTATAGAGCGAACATAACTGAAGAGAATGCGTTAAATATGGTATACAATTTTCAAAAATTCCTTTAAATTTATAGTGTAAATTTGACACTCATCGATCAGTTTTTAATGATTTAATCTGTTTAAATTCATTTGAAACAGTTTGTGGACTTTCTAAAAAAGCATCGTAATACAGACTGGTCAAATTGGTTAAAATTACCTGAGACAGTGGAAGATATATACGATTTACATGAATTTTACAAAATACTTGGTAAGTAAACCGCTGAAAGTTCCTTTAACAAGCTAAATTCCGTCCTACTATCACAGGTCGTGACGAAATGACTGAATTTCTTTCTATAAATAATGTGAACATAAACAAGAGGAACCGAACAGGATGGACACCTCTCCACGGTGCTGCTTTTTTTGGTAATGTCTGTAATTTTGCACCAGGATCTCATGTGACAAAGAAGACACTTCCGTTTCTCTTTTAGGTCATTTCGAAACGGTGAAAGATCTCATTCGTTCGGCAGCACATGTGAATTCCAAGGATATTTGTGGATCGAGTGCTCTTCACTTGGCTGCCACAAATGGTAGTTCCAAAAGAAACTCATTGAAAATTTAGGTAACAAGTCAAAACTCTTTCTTATTCCCTTGCTCAGGTCATGATGAAACGGTAAAAATTCTCATCGCTTGTGGTGCAGAGGAAAACTCAAAAAATCTTCAAGGATCGACACCACTCCACTTAGCTGCTCTATGCCAAGGTATTTTCAAAATGCACCAACATTTCATGCAACCAATCAAAACACTTCAATTTCTCTGCTCAGGTCGTGATAAAACGGTTAAAATTCTCATTGATCTCGGCGCTGATGTGAATGCCAAAAATAGATATGGATGGACTCCTCTGCTTAACGCTGCCTGGATGGGTAATTCTGAAAATGATGCACCAACAATTCGAAGTACGAATCAAAACACTTTTTTTTTCGTCCAGGTCGAGGTGAAACGGTAAAAGTTCTCATTAGTTCGGGAGCAGACGTGAACGCTAAGAAAGATGATGGAACTACTGCTCTTTACTTTGCTGCTAAGTTGGGTAAGTCTTGAGACCAATGCATCCATCGAATTCAAGCAATGAATCGAAACTCCTTATTTTTGGTTCAGGTTGTGATAAAACGGTGAAAGCTCTCATTCGTTCCGGGGCCGAGGTGGATTCTGAGAAAGATACCGGTTCGACTCCTCTTCATATCGCTGCCGAGTTGGGTAATTTCAAGAATATTGCTCTGATAATTCGAACAAAATGTAAAGACTGTCCATTCATTTCTCTGTCCAGGTCACAATCAAACGGTGAAAATCCTCTTTCGTTTCGGCGCCGATATAAATTCTAAGGATAATCGCGGTATGACGCCGCTTCACTTGGCTGCAAAGTCGGGTAATTCTTAGGATTATTGCATCGAAAATTCAAACAATGAATCAAAACTTGTTCATTTTTTTGCTCAGGTCATAATAAAATGGTGAAAACGCTTATTGATCGTGGCGCAAAGATGAGTGCCAAGGATAATGACGGATGTACTGCTCTTAGCTTCGCTATCATAAAAGGTAATTCCAGTGACATTACAACGAAAATTTCGGCAAAAAAAGCAACACCTTTTTATTTCCAGGTGATGCTGAAACGGTAAAACTTCTCGCAGCCCAAAAATCATTCAAAACATTTAAAAACTGCACGTTTTTACCATGCTATAATCAAACGAAGGAACGAGTGAAAATGTTTATGGATAAAAACTCCTAGAAAATTCCTATGTGCATCTTTTAAAGCATATGGCGACTTTAGCATGCAAATCTTCAGCCAAAAATTATTTTGATATAAAACACTTTAGACGTTCAATGAAATATTTTTGATCATTTTACAAAGAAAAAAAATATGCAAAAATACCCTACAACAGATCTTCACGCGTTAGATTGAAACGTCGATACTAAAACACAATCAGGGAAATTGTTCTTTTGTCAATAATAATGATATTTTTAGAACAGTAAATGTATGAGTAATAAAAATAAACACTTTAATTTGACGTCAGCCGACTTTGTTACAAACACCAGACTTGATTATTATTGCTGTTCTTTTGATGATTTAAAGCCGATAATTTGGAATAATTCGATGACATTTTCCTTTTATTTCTATGGCTTAGAATTATTATTCTGGATTGGCATAGCCCAATCCAAGATATTCATATTGAGATTTAAAGTTCGGAATTATTTCTCTCAGCGTATCTGTGTTCAAAGTGTATGATTTTCCCATGAAAACAACTCTGGCTGTGTGATCAGTCAACTCATGCTTTGTCAATGGATGAACGAAGATTGTCAATGGGCTGCGCTTTTGCACAAACCATTCGTACAATTTGGCGAAATATTCCACCGGTACCCATGTTTCGAACGAACCAATAGGATGGGGTCCAACTGGCTGCATGTTCAAGCCTTTAGTATCATTGTTATCTAATTTTCCAACAAAAGCAAATCACTTTAAATTCATTTCTGTTCAAATTAAAAACATGTAATGGTAATAAGAAAGTCTTTCTATGTAACTTACGTTCCAACACTGGATTCTCTGGATCATAGTGATAATGTAAAGGGACAGCAATAATTTTTTTCGACACACAATTTGCAATTACACCATTTCGCAATTCGATTGCCTGAGCAACTTGCACGGGATCATTCACATCGAAGTATGTGTGGAAATGATATTCCAAAAAGGACTCTACACCTGTTGAATTTGTAGAATTCAGACGCACATTTTTTGCATCAATACCATGTAAAAATTGGGAAGCAACAACTACCATAAGCAATGCTGTACGCAAAGCCTGTCTACTGAATGATTTACCGCTCATTGTTAGCAACGAAATTTTGAAAATTATTCCCCTTGAAGATGCAAATTAGAGTGTTTGAATTCTCGTTGAGTGATCACTAAGGCTAAGTGATGTTGAATTCGGAAAAAAACTGCAAAAAGAGAAGAATATGATTTTTTATTAAAAATTAATTTGATGTAAATTGTTAAGCATAGATTCGATAGGATTAAGCTAGTTGATACCAAGTAAAAAAAAGAGTCGTGACCTATTTTCGTTAGTTCCGACTGAAGAAAAGTTAACGTTTTTCCTAACTTTAATGAGAATTTAATTAATGTTCTACAATAAACACATTATGTGTTGTTACATTTTGAATTTAAACGAACTGATAACTCAATTCAAATTCACTTGATACTGTGCACGATTCAATTTCGGAGAAACGACTGGCGTATCAAATACTTTGTATATGACTGCGCAGTAAATGTCGTTATCACTTATCAGACACAATGATAAATGTAATCTTTGACCTGATTACTCATTTGTTGACAAATTGTATGACTAGCTTGTGTCTGGATACTTGATACAACCTCTTGTGAACATATTCGAATGAATATCTTTGATTGGAATGAATATGACTGACTGTGATTGAATTTGATTTTGTGTATCACACTTGAAAAATAAGCCTTAATTTAAAAGAAGGAAGTAAACCTTGATCAATGCAAATAAACGAAGAAAAAAACTTTAATGTTCAAACGACCGAAATGCACGAGTACTATGTTTACTGGTACATATGTATGACTGGTGATCACCAAATAACCTCACATATTAAAAAATCATTAGAGCATTGTCAACACAAGAGTTTTGCATGCGGTCAACGCATTGAAGCCGAAGTTTCGGTTGTTTTTTTTGCTGGACATTTTGGGACATTTCAACCAACTGAATGGATTGTCATTTATGAAAAATTATTGTCAGTCAAAATCTATTTGTCACACGTGTAAATCTTAATACTTAAATTATGTTGAAAAAAATAGTTAAAGCGACTCTTGTTTAAAGGAAATCTATAGTAGTCGCACTCATGGCGTATGTCACTGTGGTTGCAACGGTTTCTATTGAAAAAAAAATTGTCGTATCAACATAAGCATGTAAGTGGATTTTACTTGTTCTCCTTGGGACATGAATTGAATTTACTTTTTAACTCCAAGAAATAACCTTTACAGGGTTTTGAGAAATAATTTGTTGTAACATTTGAATTCACTACACCATTTAATGGATTAAAATAAACGTAGCGGTACTGTATAATACTTTCAGGCGTTGAAAAGATAAAACACGTTTTTCAAAACCTTACGCTCTCTAGAGTAAATGTTCAAATTCTACAAATTCCTAGCGAATTAATGTCAATACATTGTAGAAAAGGCTATTTATTCGTTTCGCGCACTAGCAAATGGCATTGAATTCTTTATTTTGAGACTGCATTTTTTTCAAATTTTATTCGTATCTTGTTCTGAAATCACTTCAAATCTTTTTCAATCACAAACATACAACTGGTGATCGTAAACTATTCTGCTATCAACACCAAGAATTGAACAAAACAACAGGAAATAGTTTTCGTACTTACATTTCAGTTGCTTTCTTGAAACAATTAAACAATTGCGTCTATAGCACCAAACGATTTACTGTTGATACTTCAACTGACCAACGATGAAGTGAAATGAAAGTGTTATTGATATTTTCAGTGACTTATATACGAAGAACCAGTAATTTAATCGGTGTGCGTGTTTATCGCAACTGTACGTGTTTGCGTTATATGTGATCATATAAGAAAAATCTGAAACGATTCAAATGCTCGTGCCGCAAGCTATATTTTGCTAACCATAATTTGCTATTGATTTTTGATGCCATAAGCGGCTAAACAAATATCAAAGCTGCCTTATAAATATAGCTTTTTCGTAGACTACTTTTGCCAGAATTGAGATGAAACCCAGAAATACATAGACATGGTTTCAAGAGCATATGATAAAATGATACAAATCCCACACAAACACCGTTTGCGATTGCAAAAATATCTTGCTATGTCTATCTTTAAAAAAAAAACGATGTGCGTGTATCGTTGTCAACATTCGTGTCCGCATTACCCTTGCTCGCACAATATCTCGAATGAATGCATTCGAATAATTTTTTTCATTCATGAATCTCACTGGATTGTTTGTCGATTGGCCACACGAATAATACAAATTTGCTATATTTTTGGAGGAGTCACATCGTGCGCATAAGGCTGCTCATATTGTGTTTAAACTTTGCTGATAAAATACTTCGATGACTTAAATCGACCGCGAAGTAGATTTCAGTCTCATTTCGGCGATATTCACTGAAATCATCCTACTTTGTTTTAAACTCGTGATATTTCAAACACAAACAGCAATTTCGTTACAACAGAACACGAAATGATCTCTATATATTAGCTGGTGCAATACTTTCTATCGTAACGACAGTACCACGCTTGAAGTCTTACAAATTACATTTTAAATGCGGCTCTTCTTCTCGTGGTTTTCAATAATTCTTTGCATGCTTGAAAATCCAATGAAAAGACACCGAAATCTTTGGAATTAGCACAAAAATGATAATTTACGGATTTGGCTTATCCAAAATATTTGAAACACAAATAGCATTGTCGTAATCCTTAAGGAATGTTTCGGATATGCTGGGAATTCCAATGCCAATAATAACCCCTTCAGTTTGATATCATCTGACACTTAGCTCATTCAGGAAGTACTCAACGTTTGCAACTTTGTGATCCAATCTCGAGTTTGAATTGTTGACTCAATTAACATTGTTGGTTTTCCCTATAAAATGAAAAGAAGTACTTGAATCTTTCAATTGAATGGCAATTAATATTGTTTGGATATTTCCATATTTTTCATCAAGACAGGCATTTCGTCAAGCCAGGCATAAAGCACAGCGATATTGTATTGCTTTCCATCGACCTCAAAACAAAACAGAGGTCTCATTTACTCTCAAAATATATTTCGTAATATCGCGGAGCTACTGCGAGTAGCACGTATCTTTTGCTGTTTGCAAGTAGCGGCTACGCTGATGCGACGAACGAATGGGAAGAGATAAACCGAGAAAATGAAACACACGAACGAAGCTGCGCGCGATTGTGTGTTACACTCTTTCGTTCAAACCATATTGACACATGCACACAGCCATCGTTCGACTCCGTTCGTGTGTACGCTATACGCGGCTGTATGTGTTCGTGTGTTTCGTTTTCTCGGTTTATCTTTTCCCATTCGTTGAACGCATCAGCGTAGCCGCTACTTGCAAACAGCAAAAGATATGTGCTACTCGCAGTAGCTCCGCGATATTACGAAATATATTTTGAGAGCAAATGAGACCTCTGAAACAAAATCTATGCAACAATTACGTTTAAATGCAAATTTTTCGCGGTAGAATTTGTTTTCTACTTCTCTATACATTCAAGGTACGATGATTCTCATTTTGCAACTGCTGCTTTTCGATAAATCTGTTGTGTAAACAACTAAAGCCGTGGAAAATAAGATTTTTTTACCATCTGGAATGTGGGAAATAAATAATTTTAGAATAATAACAGCAACTATATGATTTTATTTGACAGCAATATTGATACAACTGAATGAATTTTAGTGTCACGAGTTATTCCCCAGCCATTTTGACACTTAAAATTTATGGCAATATAATTGTAATTTCTTCCAATTTCATGATTTCCAATATTTGTAGAAAGATTTGGGGAAGTTGTTTTTCTCGTGATTTTTTGGATTGGCATAGCCCAATGAATGGTAAATATCTTACAGCGCCTTTCAATGTAAATGCATAATACAAGTGGAGGATGGTTTAACGGAATTAATCTTTTGTTTATTATGTATATTGAAATAACATGATGTTTCGAATCTCGTAGGATTCATTGAGCTTTTGAACAAAATTACAAAGCTTCCCATGTAGGAATGAAATGACTAACAGTCACTCAGTTGTATGTAGCTGTATGTAGAGGTACATAACTGGAACTCAATATTGTAAGTTGATTGAAATTAACTATTTTGTATGGAGATAATCACGTTCAGTTATTCCTTCAGCCAGTCGTTTATTTTGGGACGTTTTGACTGGAAAGTGATTAACAGTGAATTGCAACTAAAGCTTACTAGAGTTGTTTATTTTGTTTGAGATCGGTAGCATGCAAAGCACGACGCTGGCGAAGCAATTATTTCGGGCGGCATTTTTTTGAGGGCGGCAAAATTGGTAAAATTGGAGTTTGCACTAGATAGAATTGAGTTTTAAAAGTGATGACCTTTTTTTGCTCTTCAAATTTTGATGTTGGGGCGGCAATTTGCTTCGGCCGGCAAATTTTCCTCTGCACGCCGCCGTTTGAGATAATCAATTTTAGTCTGAGTCAAGAAAATTCAAAACGGATTCTGAGCGAATAAATTAAAAGGATAGCCTTTTAAATCGAAGAAGAACATTTGAACTTGAAAAATTAAATCTAGAATAAAAACGATACTTTGAAGAAACCATTTGACTCAAGTATAGAATGACGGTTAAATGAATTGAATGAGAATGATTGATAAAATGAGTCTTTGCAATAAAAATTTACTCCAATAAATATTCCAAGAATTTTGAAAATTTATTAAATCTTCTTTTAGAATAATAATAGCAAGAATATGATTTTCAATATTGGTACAACTGTTTTTTTTTTCAATTTTGGTTAAGCGTTATGGCTTTTTACTCTTTTAATTCCTTTCCTCTTCTTGATCTACACCATATAGTTGAAGGAATAATTTGTCAAGTTATGATTTGCTGGATTAGTGAAGCCCATTCTGAGATATGCATATTGTGACTTGAAGTTCGGAATGAATTCACTCAGCTCAGCTAGTCCGTTTGGGTCCAAAGTGTAAGATTTTCCCATGAAAACAATTCTGTCTACATGATCCGTCATTTCATGCGGTGTCCGTGGATGAACGAAGATAGTCAAAGGGCCGCGATTCTGCACAAACCATTCGTATGCTTTAGCGAAATATTCCACCGGTATCCATGTTTCGAACTGACCGATAGGATCTAGTTTTTCAACAGAATATTACAGAATTAATTCCATTTGATTTCTTTCCAACTCAAAAATTCGAAAACTTCTTCATGTAACTTACGAGGTCCGAATGGCTTCATGATCAAACCGATGGTATCATTGTTATCTATTTGCGAAGCAATCAATTAATTTTGATCATATTTTCCCAATTCGAAAATTCGAAAATAATTCTCAACTATCAGTTGTGAGAAAATGATTTTATGTAACTTACGCTCCAATACCGGTTTCTCTGGATCGTAGTGGTAATCACGTGCAATCCCAATAATTTTTTTCGAAACACAATTTGCTATTACTCCATTTCGTAGTTTGATCGCATGCGAAACTTGTACAGGATCATTAAAATCGAAATATGTGTGAAAATGATATTCCAATTGGTGTTCAACATCTGCAGAAGGCAGGCGCACACTTTTTGCATCAATACCATGTAAAAATTGGAATGCAACAACCAGAAAAAGCAATACTGTACGCAAAGCGTGTCTAATGAATGATTTGCCGCTCATTTTAAGCAAAGAAATTTGAAACTATACTAGTTTTTCCAAAGATGCAAGTCAGAATATTTAACTCGTCGTGGACGTTATGTTGAATTTGAAGAAACTGTGGAAAAAGTAGAAGAATATGAATCATCAGATTATCATTATTTTACTGGAAATTCTATCAGTTGAATAAAAATCTCAAATCGTTAATTCTTTAATAAATCAACCATGAAAAATGACAACAAACTTTTGCTATTCCAAAAAGAGAATAATTTTCGCACTTACATTGCTGATGCGTACTGTAACAGTAGTCAGAACAAACGATTCGCTGTCGATACTTTGACTGACAAATGATTCGAAATTGAAAGTATTTATATTTTTTGAACCTATACGGATAATTGATATATGCTTGAGTGAAGTGTTAATTTGATGGCCCAGAATTCCGTCGATTTCGCTTAGATTTCCCAAAATAACAGATCATGTGTTTGATCATTATCTCTAATCCATTGAAAAAGTCACATTCAAGTTTGATATTAATTGTCGAGTGTTTTTCGTCGATTGTCGTAAAGTACCTTAAACCTTTTCGTGCTTTTTGACAGATGTACTAAATTGAATGTTTTCGATGTCGCCATCTGGTTGGTGATACTTGTATCTTCTCGCACGGTTCTGATGAAGATTTTATTTATTGTTTATCCAATTTTATACAAAATAACTATTTCATTCATAAACACAATTTAGAAAAGAAAATCACAGTTATTCCGACTTTTTGCATGCAAAATGCCTAAAACATAAGAGTGAAAAAAATTTCATTGTTGTGGACTTTTTGCCCTATTTCTATGTTATTTTTAATTTTAATTGTTCATTTTAGGTTCACATTTGTTTCATATATTTCTAATTTACTCATTTAATTTGCTCATGCATTGTTCTGTCAAATCGCCGAACGCTGAACGCACCTCAGTTGCAAATACGTTCTGCGACTTGACTGACGTTTTGTCATGCGTTTGTGTGTAAGTGATTCCTACCAAATGCCAATACAAATGTAAATGTTCTGCGATGCAGCGACGATTCAAAGAGAATGAAAAAGTAAAATCAGTTCACTGTGAGCCGCAACAAAGGAAAGTTTCCATAAGAATTCAAGTACAAGTTGTACAATTGGTTTTTGTTGTGAGTTTGCAGTGAGTCTCGGCACAGGATAGTTTCCATTTCGTGTCAGCACAAGTTGTGCATAATTTTATTTAAGAAGTCTCTTTGAATTGGCCAGCTCTATCGTTTAGACAGCTGATTTGGTAATTTCTTGAATAGAAACCAAAGTGAATTATTGTTAACCCTTTATCACATATCGGTTCCTAAACTAACCAGATACGCCAGACGCTATAGCTATGAAACCACTGAATATTTCTACATTCTTGTTTTTAAACAAATGTAGGGAATTGAAGTAGCTTTCATTTGATAATTTATAGGCTACAATTGGCTGGCTGAATGGAAAGATTTTTCTGTTCATGTACTGCTGTAAAAAAAATGCGAAATTATAGCAGAATTCCACATTTTTCCTCCTCTTATCTTGTGGGTTTGTACATTCTTTTCAATTGTCAAATTAGGACTCGTAGGACCAAAACACATCAATTTAACTTTCTGCATCATTAGTTTTATGAAATTTAATTTTTTCAAGCTTTTATAGTGATTTGACACTTTTGACTCTTTTCCGATTTTCTCGACAAATACGTAATTTTTCAAAAATCTAAGTATGAGGTCTTTCTCTATTTATCGTGGCACAAAACATATATCAAAATGATTCAAAAACAAAAAATTGTGCATCAAATTAATCACGAATTTAATGATCTTTTTGTAAATTTGTGTGTTTGGAAATTCGCGAAAAGTGGTTGAAATACAGGGAAATCAGTGGTAATTATTTACCTTTAAAGGCCAATGGAACACATATGTCTCATCGCGCCAAAAGCAATAAAAATTTAAAACAAAATTTTTTTTAGAAAAGGCGATTATTCTTAGAAAGTAACAGACATTCCGTACAACATTTCCAATTTTCAGCTTTAAAAGTTGCACCGTTCAAATTATATAGGGTTTGGCGCCACTTGAAAAAAAAGATAAGATTTTTCGACTTTTAAGTGTTTTATTTGAGCACAGTGATGATAAATATCAAATATTATGGTAATTTCTGGTACCTACATTTATTCTCTTTCAAAAGAAACCAATTTTATTGAAATCGGTTTAAAAATGTGGAAATTATTGACGAAAAACATATGTGTTCCAAAGGTCGTCAAAGGGTTAATCCGTTATTTGCAATGTTGAAGTCCACCCTAAAGGGTCAGCAGCTAGGGACCACGGATTTTTTATTGACAAAATCTGTTTTTATCGCCCAATTTTAATGACATCCGTAAAAAATTGAAAAAATCTGTATATATTGAATTTTATCGTTTAATATCGACTATAAACGTTTAATGTGCTGGCGTCATTACCGATTCAAAAATGCTGGAAGTGGGTTTTGGTGGATCGTCAGGATCGTTTAGTACTGCTCCCGGTTCTGGAAGTGGATCCCCAGGATGGGCCAGGGCATTTTCAAACCCAGTCTGGTCCATCCTGAAGATCCACCAAAACCCACTTCCAGAATCGGGAGCAGTTCTGAACGATCCTGAGGATGCACCAAAACCCGCTTCTAGAACAGTATGCATTCGTTAAAGCAAAAAAATTACTGCAAAAATCGGGCAAAATCGACCAAAATGTGATCATATCGGAATTTATTTGTTTAAATGATAAAAAAATGTTAAAGTCGGTCATTATTGGTTATTTTTAAAACCGTGGTTAGCCCCTAGGTCAGCAGTATGCACTGAAATCGGTCTTGTATATTTTTCTTCCGATAACGAAGATTGCAATACAACAACAACTAAAAAGAACATTTTTGTACTGTGTATGTATAGTTCAAGGTTTGATATGAAGCTTATATACCAAGGTAACTACAAAGTTTTAAGTCAGCTCAAAATTTCCAGCATTCATAATGACATGTTTTTTCGTACATTGAATAGGTGAACATGGATTCCTTCTTCCAGCAAATCAAATCATTCGCAACTCATTGGAAGTAAAAGCTATGGTCGAAGAGGCTAAGACACTTCAGTACTTATGAAAATGTACTTGAATTATCGAATTATTATGGGCAAAAATATCATTTTAACAATTTTTCGTAAAATTAAAAGGAAAAGAACTCGAACAAAATTTATAGTTATATATTTATAAATTTATAGATTTTTACTCTGTTCAAGATTTGATATGAAGCTCATATTATCAAAATAAGAATGTGGCAAGTATTAGTCATTGTTATCGTTCCCGCTGGGAAATCCAATTAATAAACAAATGCGAGTAGTCACGCCGATGAATTGCAAGAAAGAAATTGCAATCGCCTGATTAAATTCCACTTCGATGCAACATTATGGCAAAAGTAGAACGAAAGATTAGACTGGAATCGAGATAAAGTGTATAAAAGGGTTACATTTTATGGTATTTCGACGCATTTGAATAGAACAGGGTGTGGTGATCTTGATCCATTTGCTCAGTTTTCATTAGTTGTGAAAAATGAACTTCTTAGCTTTGACAATTGTGTTTGCCTGTTTTGTGGCATGTTTGGGTGTGAAGGCCCGATACGATAACTACCGCGTGTATTCGATTGAGGTTGAAAATGAACAACAGTTGGAAGTGCTAAAGGATTTCGAAAGTGGTCGAGATGGAATTTCATTCTTGAAAACACCAACTGGCATACAGCAAACAGCTGAAATTATTGTGCCACCTCACAAATTCGCCGATATCGGTGATTTATTCGAAGAGCAGAAATTGAAAAACCACGTGAAAATTGCCAATCTTCAAAAGTAATAATTGCAACAAATAAATAACTGCTGTTCGTAAATATAAATTCGAAATGGAGCTTTTCATAATTATTTTGTTTTTCAATAGATTGATCGATGAAGAGCAACCAAAGAATTTGGATCGCTCCGGTTTTGGTTGGAAGCAATACAACGAACTAGGTGCAATTTATGCTTGGCTTGATGATATACTTAAAAAATATCCAAAAGTACTCACCAATTATACCTACGGAAAATCTTATGAAAAGCGTCCTCTCCGCGCTGTCAAAGTGTCCCACAAAAAGGCATGAAAACAGTTTGAAAGTTGTGACAAATGCTTATGTTTTATAATAATAATAAATAAAAATTCATTTATCATTGTGATCTTTTTCGTTTTAGGGAAATCCAACTATTTTTATTGAATCCACCATTCATGCAAGGTGAGTAATCCATGATCATAATATCATATCACATATTCTATGTAAGAATTGCATATTTTACCAATTTCTAGAGAATGGATTACAGCTGCAACAGCCACGTATTTCTTGAATGAATTGCTCACATCGGATGATGTCGATATCCGAAAATTGGCCGATAATTACGATTGGGTGTTCGTTCCGGTTGTGAACGTCGATGGGTATGTAGGATCAATGGCTACTTGATCTATGTTTACTTTGATTAAATGTAACTATAAAAAAGATGCAACTGTAATATCAAAATCAGTCTTGTAATGGCTTTCAAATAATGGCTAATAAATGTAACTAAAACTCATTTATGATTCCTACAGGTATGTGTACGCACATTCAAAGGTGAGCAAATAAGTGATTGGGAAAATGTCCAAGCAGAAAAAAAGAAGTGTTCATTTTCATTCTAGGATCGAATGTGGAGAAAAACACGCAAGCCAAGCCCGAAGAATAAGAGATGCGTTGGAGTTGATGCAAACCGAAACTTTGATAGCCATCATGGAGGTTTGTACAATTATTTTAATAATTACTTATAGAATCATGAACCGAAAACCATTCAACCAACTTCCGGACAACCAACCCATATGGACACAAGCACTAAAAGCATTTTTAAGAGAAATATTTTGAATAACACAACGCAAAACAGATTAGAGAAACAACGAGATACATTTTTTGTAGTTGCAAATCATCTATTTGTCAGTTTACGCCAACAAATTAATATTTTTCAAGTTTTCTTGCTCATATCACCCCAAAAATTTTAATCATTGATTCAATTTGTAAATTGAAATTCCAGAGGTTGGCGCTTCAACGGACCCTTGTTCAGAGATATATGCCGGTCCAACGCCATTTTCAGAGCCAGAAACACTTGCTTTGTCCAAATTCATCAAGTCTTTTGATAACATTAAGCTGTACCTTTCATTCCATTCGTATAGTCAACTTTTGCTCTTCCCATACGTGAGTAGAATTTAATACATTTATCAAATGTACTGAAGTCATTACCTTTTCAAATCTTCTTAGGGGTACACAAAACAACACGCGAAAAATCATAAGGATTTGGTAAGAAACAGTCGGCACAAGTAGTTGAAGTGATTTATTAATTTCAACTTTCAATTGTAGAATCAAATCGGACAGAAAACAAAACAAGCCATCGCCAAAAGATACGGAACACAATACAAAGTCGGAAACACTGGCCAAGCAATCTGTATGTTGTATTTCATTTATAAAATAAATGTATTGTTTAAATTGATAATCTTTTTTCTCGTTTGTTGGTAAGATCTTGCTTCTGGAGGTTCCGATGATTGGGTATATGACAGTCTGAATGTACTTCTCTCATACACTTTTGAGTTCCGAGACACAGGTAACAACTATGTTTTAAGTCAGCTCACATCTTTCAGCTTTCATATTTACATATTCTCTCATACATTGATGGATAGGCCGTTATGGATTCGTTCTTCCAGCAAACCAGATTATTCCCAACTCACTGGAAGTTATCGATGGTCTAAAGGCTATGATCAAAGAAGCGAAGTCACTTAAATACTTATAAAAATGTCTTTGAATTTTCGAATGATTCAATAAATCCTGAACTATTTAACAATTTTCAATAATTTATCATAAAAATTGAAGCAAAACCACTCGATAAACTTGACTGTGAAGTAAATGTAATATTATAAAACATATTTAGTAAAAAAATCATGGATGCATTACAACCACAGCTCCATTTCATAGCTTAAACTCTGTATGCAGTTTAAGTTTTAATATGAATTGTGTTCACCAATTGAAGTCATTGTCATCGTTTTATCCTTGCAAATTCTAACGAATTGATAAATACCAATGTACTGAGCGCATAATAAATAGCTAAATTAATTACCGTCGCCTCATTACCTTCCAATCATTATTATGAAGAAGAAGAAAAAACATTGTGACAATCCGCTTCATTTATTTGAATGTAAATCGCTTTCAAGCACGAAATTCATTGTACAATTGAACCATTGCGACAAACGAATTCCCTCAGAATATTTTAGTTTTAAAGTGCAACATAAAGTTTTTTTCATATGGAGTTGTTGTTGTAAACTCTATATAAAAAAAAATTCATGTTGCACTTTGAAACTAAAACATTCGTTTGTCGCAATGGTTCAATTCTGCAATGAAATTAGTCTCTGAAATCAGTTATAAGTTTACAACACTCGAAACATCAAAATCATTCGGGATTATGGTGGCAATTATCTTAGAGTTATTTATACGTGTTTCTGAGGAATTTTCGAATTAAAAGATGCAAAAAAGACAAAACAACTGCCTTATCAATATAGAAAATAAATGGGCGTCCGGCGACGGGGGAAATAAGTTTTACCATGTTTTAACAATATGATATTTAAACACCTGCTGGGTTTGATTTGCAAAGTTATTGATTGACTGGAGAGATATGATAGACACAAAGGTACTTGTGAAATAAACAGACATAAAATATAAAGTCACACGAAAAATACCAAATAAAAGATAAACTTAAAAAAATCGGTTGTATTGATTGTAGAGTGACAGTCAATTCTATGTCTGATTATAATCAATAAACCCATTTTTTCTTATTCAAAATATTAGTACGTTTCTCGTGAACATGAAGAAATGGTCATCGCTAGATTAAGAAATTCAACATTTTAAGTGTTGTTTCCTTATCTATTATTTGTGAATGAAAAATTGGCACAGACGTGACAGATTTATGGACTACTGTCGTACGATTTCCGTCGCATGAAAAATATAGTTTTTTTTGTGTAGATTAAGCCTGGAGCCAGATAGAAAAAATATAAAAGGGGACAATTGTATGAATGTTGAATCATTGAGGTAGTGGACAGTGTAGAGGTCTCATTTTAATTACAAAAGTATTATTAATGAAGTTAATAACTGTGGCAATATTATTTGCCTGTTTTGTGGCATGTTTGGGTGAAAAGGCCCGATACGATAACTACCGTGTGTATTCGATTGAGGTTGAAAATGAGCAACAGTTGGAAGTGCTAAGGGATTTCGAAAGTGGTCGAGATGGAATTTCATTTTTGGAAACACCAACCGGCATACAGCAAACAGCTGAAATTATTGTGCCACCTCACAAGTTCGCCGATATCGGTGATCTATTCGAAGAGCAGAAATTGAAAAACCACGTGAAAATTGCCAATCTTCAAACGTAATAAATTGCTGCTGTTCATAAATTTGAGGCATCTTTTTAAAAATAATTCTTTGGAATTTCGAATAGATTGATCGATGAGGAACAACCAGAGAATTTGGAACGCTCTGGTTTTGGATGGAAGCAATACTATGATTTAACTGCAATTTATGCTTGGCTTGACGAATTACTTGAACAATATCCAAATGTACTTAGCGAATATAATTATGGAACCTCGTATGAAAATCGTACTCTTCGTGCATTGAAAGTTTCCCACAAAAAGGTATGAGAAAAATTTGTATTAAAAAAGGCGAATTCAATATTGAAAACTTCATTATAGGGAAATCCAACCATTTTCATCGAGTCAACTATACATGCCCGCGAGTGGGTTACAGTTGCAACAGCCACGTATATCTTGAATGAATTGCTCACATCGGATGATGCCGAAATCCGAAAATTAGCCGATAGCTACGATTGGGTGTTCGTTCCGGTGACAAATGTCGACGGATATCAATACACACATTCAAAGGTGAGCAAATCAGTGATTGAATTGAAAACGTTTGAGCAGAAAAAAAAATATGAAGTGTTCCTTTTCATTCTAGGATCGAATGTGGAGAAAAACACGCAAGCCAAATCCATCATCAACCTGTGTTGGGGCGGATCCAAACCGAAACTTTGACTTCCACCATGCAGGTTCGTGCCATTGTCAAACTTGTTTTTTTGAACCATTTGAATCTCATATAATATCACGAACCTTAAATTTTCGAATTGAAATTCCAGAGGTTGGCGCTTCTACGAACCCTTGTGCAGAAACATATGCCGGTCCAACGCCATTCTCAGAGCCAGAAATACTTGCTTTGTCAAAATTCATCAAGTCGTTTGACAATATCAAGCTATATATTTCATTCCATTCGTATAGTCAACTTCTTCTTTTCTCATACGTAAGTAAAATCGAATATTCTTTCAATTTAAATTACAACCACTAATTTCTCAACATTTTCTAGGGTCATTCGAAGGAGCACACACCTAATCATAACGATTTGGTAAGAAAAATATTGATATATGCGCAAATAAAATGATTTACTAATTCCAACTTTCGATCCCAGAATCAAATCGGCCTGAAAACAAAACAAGCTATCGCTCAACGATATAAAACACAATATCGAGTGGGAAGTATCGCCGAAGCAATCTGTAAGTTGAATTCATTTCATGCTAAACAATGAGTTAAAATAAAACATTTGAAATTACTTGAAAAAAAATATGACCTTTTCTTTGTGTTTTTCTTCTCTAGATCTTGCATCTGGAAGTTCCATTGACTGGGTGTATGGCACTCAAAATGTTTCCCTCACATACACTTTTGAGTTCCGAGACAAAGGTAACTACAACGTTCAAAGTCAGCTCAAAATTTCCAGATTCCATATTCACATCTTTTTTTTTGTACATTGATGAATAGGTCGCTATGGATTCCTTCTTCCAGCAAACCAGATTATTCCCAACTCACTGGAGGTTATCGATGGTCTAAAGGCTATGGTTGCAGAGGCTAAGGCACTTCAGTACTTATGAAAATGTACTTGAATTACGATTTGACTCTAAACTATTTTACAAAATTATCATTTTAACAATTTGTCGTAAAAGTTAAAGCAAACGAACTCGAACAACATGCTGTAGAATGAAGTATATCAATTGCAATACAATCACAACAAATGCAAAACATTTTATAGTTTTTTTTAAATAATTTAAATTTAAATGAATTTTATATTATCAAAATAAGAATGTGGCAAGTATTAGTCATTGTTATCGTTCCACATTTGGAAATCCAATGAATAAACAAATGCGAGTATTCACGCAGATGGATCGCAAGAAAATGAATTGCAGTCGCTTGATTAAATTCCATTTCGATGCAACATTATGGCAAAAATAGAACGAAAGATTAGACTGTAATCGAGATAAAGTGTATAAAAGGGTTACATTTTATGGTATTCCGACGCATTTGAATAGAACAGGGTGTGGTGATCTTGATTCATTTGCTCAGTTTCTATTAGTTGTGAAAAATCAAGTTCTTAGCTTTGGCCATAGTGTTTGCCTGTTTTGTGGCAGGTTTTGGTGAAAAGGCCCGATACGATAACTACCGTGTGTATTCGATTGAGGTTGAAAATGAGCAACAGTTGGAAGTGCTAAAGGATTTCGAAAGTGGTCGAGATGGAATTTCATTTTTGAAAACACCAACTGGCATACAGCAAACAGCTGAAATTATTGTGCCACCTCACAAGTTCGCCAATATCGGAGATTTATTTGAAGAGCAGAAATTGAAGAATCATTTGAAAATCGCCAATCTTCAAAAATAATATCGTAACCATTCAAATAGTAACATAGTTCTAATTGTTACAAAGTCTCAAAATAAACCACTTTTCAAAAAAAAAATGCAAATAAGTCATATATTCATATCGGACGTTTTTTCGTGTTCTTCTCAAATATGATATAAAAAACAACAGTTACCCTTCGAAGTTTTGCAGAAAATTAGTCTATTTGTTCAATTGTTACAATTTCGACTATGTTACAATTTTTATGACGATTTTTGGGGTTTTTATCACAGTTTTCGGGTTTTTTATGACGATTTTCGTTTTATCTGGATGGTTTACGATAATTGCAATAAATCACTGTTGTTCGTAAATACAAATTCAAAATGGAGTTTTTCACAATTGTTCTGATTTCCAATAGATTGATCGATGAAGAGCAACCAGAGAATTTAGATCGCTCCGATTTTGGTTGGAAGCAATACAACGAACTAGGTGCAATTTATGCTTGGCTTGATGATATACTTAAAAAATGGGTAAAACAAAAACCTCCCCAAAAATTACTAAAACCTCCCC